GAGATGACCGGCGGCCAGACCCCATCTGAACCGGTGGCTCTAAGCTGCCTCTGCTGTCAGGTCTTCCTCCCACTGACCCCTCTTCATTTTCCTCCTCTTCTTGCTTGTTTGGTCGCTCTCCTCCACTGTACTGCTGCATCCAGGAGTTGAAGATCCAGGCATCTTCTTCATCCTCCTCTTCTTCCTGGTCTTTCATGAGGAATGGATCTTCAGGATCTGAAAACACGTCCTCTTCTCTGTCTGGATTCATAGTGAAGCAGCTAAATGAACCGTTAGGATGCTTAAAGTATATAAAATCAGCTTGGGTTAGATAGGGATGTGTTTAGTCAATTAGCTTTCAGCAGAGGAGAACAAGGAGGTTCAGCTTTTCCAACATCTCACTGCAGATCCACGAAGCTTCACCAGAGAACCTCCAAGCTCCCAACTTCAGGTCGTTGTCCTTCGTGGGGTTTTGTTTTTCTTCTGTTAGTCTTCTGTAGTTCTAACCTGAAGGCGGTGTTAATCCTTTTGCTAAAGCCGTGGAAGATGGGGAGGAGGAAGATTACACCTGCTTACAGGATCTGTGTCACATGATCTGAAAACACCTCAGCACTTCAGCTGCTTATTGATTACAGCTACTGCCATCCATCTAATAATGGCATAACTTTTTATTTTTATGCTGATTGCCAAATTTACTTTCCTCTGGATCACGCTGGTCCACACTCCATCCAACCTCTTCTTGACTGCCTGGTTGATTTCAGAAGTTAGATGGCTTTAAACTTATTAAACTTTAATAAAAAGAAAACTGAAGTCATGTTGTTGCCACCTAATGATGTCAACAGGAACACCTGCACCAACCTTTCCCCTCTTGCTCCGTTTGAGAAACAAATTGTCACCAATCTGGGAGTAAAAATGGATCCTTACATGAAATTAAATGTTCAATTAAACTCAAAATATTTAAACTAATCATTTGATTTAGCATTGATTAATAATTCTGACTTATAAACTGCAGCTACTCCTCCACCACGACCTGTTGTTCAAGGAACACGAACATTTAAATAATTAACAGGAGTGAATTCATTTATACTAACAAAATCCTCCTGTTGTAACCAGGTTTCAGTAAGACAGAATAAATCAATATGAACAGAGACTTAGAAGAAAGAGATCTAATATTTGATAAACCACACCTAATAGTTTTATTGTTTTGTTCTGATAAAGTAACTGATACGACTAGGAGGCAGGGTGAACCCAATTGCAGGCAGGCAGGC